CCAGTTGCTATCTGTACCAATGTACAACCTGGTCTAGCCAGACTTGCTACCCTCACTCTTCACTCCCTACCACTGGGATCTTCCAGGCGGGCAGGCCCCACGCAGACCCTCCTCACCTTGTCCAGGGTCATGTCCGGGAGCGGGGCGGTGTCCGCGCCCACCCTCTCCTGCTCCGACACGGGATCCGAGGCCGGGTAGCCGCAGAGCGCCAGCAGCTCTTCAAGGGGCATGTCGCTGCTCTGAGGGGACAGCACTCCACTGGGGGCCTGCTCGGGGCTCTGTGCCCGTCACCCCCCCAGCAAGCCCACATGGAAGCCCCACCTCCACCGAGCCCTGGCCCAAGGGCTCTGTCAAAACCCCCAGAACAAGTGCCGGGGCGGAGGCAGCTGTCCCCACAGGTCCCAGCCAGCAAGCAGAAGCCTGGGTCTGCCTCCACCCACAGCGCCTACCAGGTCGGGAGGGGGACCACCAGGGCCACCAGGAGGGCCCTGGCTGCTCCCCACCCCAGAGGACAGGAAGGAAAGAGGAGAGCGCCTTGATTAAAGAGGAAGAGATGTGTGTCAAATCTGGTCCCCACTACTGGTGATGAGCACTCTTGTGTACAGATGGAGAGCAGTGAGGGGGCACCCATTCCAGGCAGCAGGGGCAGTGAGTCAGGCCCTGCTCCAACCTGAGCCCAGCACCACCACTGCCCAACCTCAAGGCAAAGCTTCCAAACAATGCAATATGGACAAACAAATGGGGCATCTAGTCTCGGCAGAAGTACGCAAGGATGGCAAGACTTCGTCTTACAGACTTTGGACACGTCGTCAGGAGAGAAGGACGTCATATTTGGTAAGGTCGAGGGGCAGTGAGAGAGAGGAGGTCCCTCACGGAGATGGATGGACACAGTGGCTGCAGCAGTGGGCTCAGCAGAGGAACAGTTTTTGGGGGGGCTGGGGGGCGGGGTAGCGTCTTGTCCTGTGGTGCTCAGGGGTGCTGTGGGCCGGAACCGAATGGATGGCACCCAAGAACAACTCTCCGCTCTGCTTTCAGCCAATGTCCCTTGTTCCACGTCCTCTTCTGAATCGGGCCTGAACCTCTGGCTGCGCCCTGTCGACGCACTGCTGCAGCCCTTGTTGGCTGGGTTCAGTACAGTTCCACTTGCACGTGCTATCAACGATGCGATTCTAGAGTCCGAGCGTCCCTGGGGTCACCTTTCTTTGGCGTGAGTACAAATAGGGCTTTCTTCCTATCCGCTGGACAACTAGCTGTTTCCCAAATGTCCTGCCATCGACAAGTGGAGCCGGAACCGAGTCAATGGCAACCACAAAGTCACCACAAAGGGAGAGACCGCACCAACCTCTTCACCTGTCTGCCAACTTCCATTCATGCTGGCCCGAGGCCTGAGCACACCTCTCCTGGACATTTCCCCGCCGTTCTCAGGGTATCAGCACTGCTCCGTTCACCGGGGGCTCCAGGGGCAAGGAAGCCAGCATGCTGGACCCCAACCCAGTCTCATCCAACTGCCCCTCCCCTGGGCAGCA